AGCTCATGGTTTTAATTGCAGACTTTCCTATCCTTTTTTAAACATCAGTGTGTAGTGTAGGTAGGCTTAAGTGCTGTACGTATTTAGTATCTGGGGAAAAATTCATGTTTTTAAACACTTATTTTTTATAACAAGATTAATTGTTTTAATTTGTAGATCATTATGTTGCTAGAAGACAGATTTTTGTTGCTGATAATGCTTGAAGAAATTAAACAATGCACTGAGTGTTTTAAGATATCTCAAGTGCTTAACTTGCAGTCCTTCTGTGCTATAGGTGACTGACATAAAGCTTTAGTTTTCAATAGACGTCTAGTTAGAAAACTTCCTCTTTATTTTAGTAATTGGTTTAGTGTGTCATTAGTGCTTTGTTCATTTTTTGACTTAGCAATCACTTCCGTGAATTACATCTGGCTTTTCTACTTTTTTAGCGCAACTTCTGAAGCATAATACAAGAATAAGGAAAAAGGGGGCAGACCTTGGTGAACTGCAGAGTGCCATTGAATCTATAAAGGAAACACAGGAAGACATTAAGAGGTAGTACTAAACAAAATGCTTTTGTTTAGTAAAAACAAAATAGTTTAGAGACATAGTTTAGAGAATACTAATTTTATAGTTTTTTTTTCTTGGAGGCTGGTATGTATCTTTCTGCTTTAGAGCCTTGATGCCTTTAAACTGCCCTTCTTCCCAAATGTTGATTGTTTATTGATGTTTCATAATTTTCCTTAAAACCCGTCTTCTGTAGGGAGCCCTAACATACTAGAAAATGCCGAATTGTCTTGATTGTAATTTAAAGAATATTATTTTCTCTCTTACAGGGACATTATGGCTCTACGAAATAGAGTCACTTCTAATTCACCACCCATGGACTACCATTTCTTGCAGTTTAAGCACTATGTCTTCATTTTACTTGTGGTCCTGCTACAGCTTATCATTAATTTCTTGTTCAAATAGGAAGTGTGAACAAGGGCCTTTCTGAACTGGAATGATCAAACTGTTACTGGGGACCGTATTTTAAGTTGGACTTTAAATGATGCAATATTACCTAAGAGCCCCCTGTAGCAACAGCTTACAGAACTTTGCCTCAACGTCCATGGTTCAGAATCATACTCCTGTCTACCCAGTTGAAGTAAGAATTGTGTAAGTGCCAGTACAATCTTGCTCCTGGTGTGTGCCTCTCACAGACATATGACATCAGCCTTGTGTTTTATATTGCGTCACACGCTGTACTGATGAACCTTCACCACAGAATAGATGAAGTTAAAAATTCTGAGGTCAGACCCTGTAGGTAGGATGTGATTCCTGTTGTGGTAGAATGATAAACGAGCATACTTTGTTACATTTAAACTTACCATTTTTGTAACAAAGGAATTTTTGAAGTAGCCAACAGTTTTTGTAAATGGTGTTGGGTGTTTGGAAGTAAACTTTTGTTTAAGGTCAAACAAAAACATTATTATACAAAGACCATGAGTGTTAGGAACTGGCAGGTAAACAGCTGAAGTCTCTGGGAATTCTGCAATGTCCTTGATTTGTTTTGGAAGTATGAGTTTTTATCCTGAATTACTATAGTGGCTTGAAAGCCAGCTGTCTTATTTTTATAGTTTTAAAACTTCAGATTCTTCATAAAAACATTCCTGCATCTACTGTACAGAGCACATTTTTAACAGTGTATCACCTGAGAAGGTACTGTCTTGGTCCACTCTCTTTCATGAATTGCAAATGTCAAGGATTTATGGTATGTTTGTCAGTCTTGATAAAATCTACAGCTTTGAATTTACATTTGTATATGGCCATGTCACAGCAAGCAGACAGACTGCTGATGCTAGGACTCTTATTTTTGAAACAAAATGTGAAGATGCAAAGGTGTGCTTAATATGTGGCTTGAATCGAACCTCCCAAAAGGCAGATAACGTAGAACAGAATTCACGCACTGTCATGGGATTACTTGCAAATGAAAACATGTGTGTTTACAAGGGAAAAGTCCTCAGAAATTGCAAGATGGCTAACACCACACATATCAAAACAAGTAAGAGCGAAACCCTAAGTCTTTGTTAAATTCTTCCTTACTGCAGTATATACTACCTAACAGAACACACGGATACACCTATTCATTATGCTGTAGCCATACAAATTAATGTGAAGCTTAAGTTTCAATTTAAAACCAGGGTTTCTAACATTTTTATTTGAAAAAATATATGCATGTATAGAACTTGTAAAATTCCAGCAAAAAAATGTAGTGCCAGTGTTTATCTGGTGAATTCCTTATGCCAGTCAAGCGTACCAAGTCAAAAGAGGGCTGTGGAATTGTAAAGGTACTCTCAGTAACCCAGATGAGACAACAGAAGGAGGATGAGTGGCACAGTGCAGAAGGCAGCCAAGTTTGTTTTCAGAGGATCCTCTCAGAAATCATATCCATCCCGGGCGGTGGAACAGTTCAAATGTCACATTTGGCTTTTTGCCATGCCCCAGTAATCCTTGGGCAGCCTCCCTGACCCTCTAAGTGATCTACCTTTCTGTTCTGCATCAGTCTCACTGGTATTTAGTGAGAATACTATTTGCTTGTTGTCTGTCAGTCTAGCTCATATATTCTGTAGCTGACACGTTCACACACCTCCCCTTCTCTTACTCTTCCCCTTCTTTGGTCCTCAGCTACGTAAAAGTTTATTGCTTAAGCAGTCAAATTCACTGTATTTCTTACAGCTTCATATTAGCATAGTTTGGTCTTCAGTCATTTTCTGAAATGTAGTACTTTAACCTGAGTGATCTTGTATCCATGGTCAAGACCAAACTTAACTGGACTTCTGTTATACTTATAGCTGGTAAGGTAAAATTTGTGAATGTAAAAAGTCCCTCTGTAAGAAAAAAACAAAACAAAACAAAAAAACATAAAAAAAATCTACAAGTTAAGTATCTAAAAAGAAACTGAAGTTGTTAGCCATATAAAATGGCATAAAGAAATCAGAACATTATAGCATTAATTTAATGTTCTCAGCCTGGAATTTGGCCATTTGTTATCACTTTCAAATATCAAAGCTTCATCTGTCTTACGATCCATTACAAGCCTTTAAACATACTCTGTAAGTAAGAGTACAAGAGGAAATGAGTGAGAATTTGGTCAATAACTTAATTCCCCTAAAATAATACTCTCCTAAATTTGTGGTGCTGAAATTCTTGACTGATAGCTACAAGCTTTTATCTCCCTTGTAAATAGAAATGTCCTTCTGCCCTTTCGTGTTGATTTTTTTAAATGACTTCTATTCAAGATCAGTTAATAACACAGTCTGCACAGTAGTAAGTGTGGATTTAACCCAGCTAGCTGGCTGGTAGCACAGTGTGGGACAACGTCAGACTGAACAGATACTCCATATCTGAAATTCATGCTCAGCTCAAGATAAAGACTTGAACAGAGCAAGACAATGCCTGTGCTTATTTTCCTTTTCATCTTATTTTTTTAGAGTTTAATTATGTTGTGAAAGTGGTTTTAGTAATGGTCCAGGAAGGTAAAGGATATATGATGAAACTTTTTGAAAAATAAAATTGCAGACTTCTGCTTGACTGTATGATTAGATAACATCGAAAACCTAGTCATTCCTGTTTTGCTGGGTGTTGTATGATGTTCCCTCATGTGAATAGAACAAAGAAATTTCCTGCCTGACTTGTACAGTAGAGCTGGTCACCAACACGTATGGAGCTGTTTAGCGATGATGTGTAGCTGATCTTGAATACTGTGTACTTAAGACTGAGCTCTGCACATAGTTATAAAAATGGACTGTACAGTTTGCAGATGTTTTAGGGCTGTGGCTTCCTACTAGTTTTTAAATTTAAAACAGCACTTGTTTTCACATTTGATTTACAAATCTTGTTTTGTTTGTTTGGGATTTTTTTTCTTATACAGGAAATATTTCCAGAATTTGTTACCATGAGGCTTTGTTGTTTCGTTTTTGTTCTTTCAAATGCTCTCTTAAGCCTTTAATTTGCTATTTAGGTACAGGTTGTCTAGTTAGGTAGAGATGACCTAAGGTAAGAAAAAATAAATATGCCATGTGAAATGTAGCAAGTATCATTTGCAGCAGTAGACGATGTTTCTTGCATTTCACATGTTGTTTCCTTTTAAATAGTTGACATTACTTAATGAGGATATAGCCTTTGTCCCTGTCCAGTTAAATGTCATAAATTATTCAAAAGGTGGACCACATAAAATGTAGTGATGGTGGTTTCTTCCTTTTTTTTGTTTGCTGTTTGCTGCCATCCTGTGCCTTTGGGAATTTTTTTTTATTTTATTTTTTTTTTTTTTTTTGCTAGAATGGTGTTTATGAAACAGACTTTGGATTCAGTGTTTCATGAAGTTTCTTAAAGGCTATTACTTCACCATTGTTTGTGTAAATAACATAAACCAATCTGTAAGTTTTGATTATTGGTTCCAGGGTATCCTCAAATCACAGAAAATTCAGCAAATATTTAAGTAAGCAGTGCCTTCTTGACGGATTTCTTGCTGTTCTGGGATGTGTAAAGATTTGTCAAGTTTGTGCCATATGTAACATCTGACCTTTTGTGAGGGCCTTGGTGTTTGAAAACTAACTTTCCTGCTTAGTCAGATTCTGGGGGGGGAAAAAAAAAAAAAAAAAAAAAAGGCACAATCCACCAAAAAAACCCAACAGCTCTTAAAACACATTACGTATTCCCTCTTCCGGCTGGTGCGCCACGAGCGGAGGATTTCTGGTGTTTGATATAATAAAGCAGCGCTCTTCTGTTCGTGGTATTACGGAAACAGCCGCCATAAAGTATTTCGGCTTTTTGTCCCTCAGGTAGGCCCCCGGCTGCCGCTTGACCCGGCGCTGCCCCCTGCCCCGGCTTTTCGCTTGACCCAAGGGGGAAAATTGAGTCTTCAGGACCCGCGCCCGTCCCTGCTCCTCTGCCCGGGCTCGCCGGTTCTGGCGGGCTGGGGAACCGTCCCCCGGGGCCGGGGCCGGGGCCGGGGCCGCCTCCCGGAAGGGGCGCGGCCTGTGGGCGGCCATGTCGCGGCGGCGGGAGCCGGGCCGGCTGTGTCAGGAGGCGGCGGCGCTGGCGGGCGCGGTGCGCGGCGCCCTGGGGCCGCGGGGCGGGCGGGCGCTGCTGGTGCGGCCCACGGGCCAGGCGGTGCTGACGCGGGACGGGCGGCGGCTGCTGGAGGCGCTCAGCCTGGAGCCGCCGACGGCCAGGTACCGGCGGCGGGGAGGGAGCAGCGGGGAGTTGGGGGGGGGGGGGACCGGGATGGGCCCGCCTAACCGCCCGTGTGCCCGCAGGATGATGGCGGCCTGCGCCTGCAGCCACCGCGCCGCCACGGGGGACGGCGCCAAGACGTTCGTGGTGCTGCTGGCCGGCGTGCTGAGCGGGCTGCGGGCGGCGGGCGGCGGCGGCGGCGGCGGGCTGCGGCGGGCGCTGCGCGGCTTCGAGGCGGAGGTGCTGGAGCGGGCCGTGGCGCAGGGCCTGCGGCGGCACCTCCCGCCGGCTCTCCCCGGGCGGCGGGCGGGGGAGGCGGGCGCCCTGCCGGCGCTGCTGGAGCCTTACCTGGGCGGGCGGCTGGGGCCGGGCGAGCGGCGCTGGCTGGCGCGGCTCGGCGGCGAGATGTGCCGCCGCTGCGGCCCCCGCCCGCCGGCGCTCCGCCTCCTCGGCCGCCGCTTCGCGGAGCTGCACGCCGCCGTGGCCGGCCTGCCCGCGGCCGGCTCCAGGGTCCTGCCCGGCATCGTCCTCCGCAGGGATTTCGCGGCTTACTGCCCGGCGGGCGGGGACCTGCGGGCCGTGCTGGTCACCCAGCCCCTCCGGGCCGCCCTGCCGGGGCCCGGCGGCGAGTTCGTGGTGGACTCCGAGGGTCGGTGTCAGGCTGCCCTGAGCTGGATCGCGGGGAGGACGGAAGCCTTGATGCAACGCTTCCGGAGTAGCAACGTGAAGCTGTTGCTGTCGAGTGTGAAGCAAGACGAAGACGTTATTTACTACGCAAAATTATACGGGGTGTCCGTGGTGGAGTGCTTGTCGTCGGAAGAAATGGCCCTTATCAGTGAAATCACGGGCGTCTCACCTTGCGCGCCTTTTGCTGATGACACGCACGGGAAAATCACCGAAACCGCAGTCGCGACGTTCTGCCAGCCCTTGCTGCTCGGCTCAAAGAGATGCGCCCACATTGGCTTCACCAGCGTGTGTGCCTTTCAGCCCCACTGCCTAATTCTTTGTGGGCCGGTTGACAGCGTTAACGAGCAGCACGCTGCCGCTTTGCAAGGGGCATTTACGATGCTGCAGCAGCTGTTTAAAAGCGTTGATCGGAGGGTGGAATGCAAAGCAGAAAGCGAAAGCCAGAATGGAGCCTCAGATGTTTGCCACTGGCGTTCTTCAGCTGCTCAGAAGCAGTTTGCAATAGAAACTATTTTTTGTAACAGCGACTGGGCATCTGAGCGCCAGCTGAAAGCACGTGGCGATGAAACAGAGACACAAACCGTAGACCTTGATTTGCAGGGAAGTGAAAATCCACCGTGTGTGCAAACAGACTTGCAAATACCCTCAAACCCCATCTCGCACATCAAAGAATTCAGCATCACCACTGATGGAGATGGCTCTTCAGGAGGCACGGAGAAACCCCCTGCAAAATGCGAGCATCCGGGTGACGTGCAGGAGAACTATGTGGGTGATTCACCTGTGGACAGTCAAAAGAGCTACAGCACTGCTGTGTTAGCAGCACATAATGCTGATAGAGGCATTGCCTGTGAACGTGGAGATGTTGGCAAAGATCTGGAGAAAACAAGTTGCAGTGTGGTTCCATGTAAACATGAAAACACGAGTTGTGCAAGTGTTGCACAGAATTGCTCCAGCTCCCTCATAGAAGCAGGATCAGTTTTGCCAGTAGGTGGTTACTTTGAAATTCTGTTACATTATTATATTCAGTACTATGCAAAACAGTTGCAGGAGACAGAGGTAACTGTGGTAGCTAATGTAGTTGCTGATGCTTTGCTAAGTATTCCCAAGTGCTTGTACAGCACAACAGAACGAAACGGCTTTACCAAATTCTATCTCAAAACCATAAATGCACTTAGAAAAAATCAGCCACTGCCTGTGAACGAGAAAGGCTTAGAATCAGTGTATTGCAAATACCAGTTAGTCATTTCAGTTCTTCATTGTGTCGCAGAGCTTCTCTCCATAGATTTAATAATTGGTATTAAAAGGCCACTGCAAAAAATTGAGGATTATGACTCAGAAGATGACTTCTGAAATCATTAATAAAGAATGTTTTTGATTATTTGTTTTCCTGTGTCTTTCTTGTCAAATGAACGGGTCTCAATGCAGTGTTAAAGACTAAAAGATAATGTTTTTAGGCCCTAATGTGCTTCTTTCCCCTTAGAAGAAAAGGAAAAAAAAAAAAAAGATAGAAAAAGGCTAACCAGCTGAGATTTGTGGAAAACAAACTGGGTTCTGAACAGCACAAACTTGGACGTTTCAAACATGAGAAAGTGTAGCCGATTGCTGCTGCAGAAGATGTGCAATGCCATCTCCGTCCACATGCAGAGGACCCTATGTATGTTCTAGCCAAGGGTGAACTTTGCTGCTTTTGGCAGTTTGGGAATTTGTGCAAGTTAGATGTGATTAGTTTTCCTAGCACACTAACAGTTGCCAATATGGCACGAGTCACTGAACTTAGAAGAAAGGGGTTTTTTAGCCTTTGTAATAGGCTGGATTGAATGTTATTTTAAATAAAAATATTTTTGGATATATTGCTGTTTTTAATATAATGGGAAAAGTATAACTGTTGGCAGTCTGTTCAGCATTGGGGCAGGCGGTGGTAGCCACTGCAGTGAAAAGTTTTCTCATCTGGTAGGAGATATGGCATTTTTATCCTCCATTGAGTTCACTTTAGTCCAACTAGTAGAGTTAAGAATAATTTCATATCGTGACTGGCTGGCATTTCTCGCAAATTATATGTAACATTACTTAGTACAACTATTAATTTTAACTATCCTGGGTTGAGTTGTGCTACTATAAAAGGCTGTGTAATCATGGGAAAAGTTTACATGGGCAGTAATGCAGTTTTGTGTGAAAAACCTGGGACAATTTTTTAGTTCAGGCTTAGATCATCTGGGATTTTATTCTGAGTTTTTTTGTTTGTTTGTTTTTCTTTTATTATTTTTTTTCCCGCCAGGATTTTCACCCTAATAAGATTTGCTTTAAGCTCAGTGTCGCCTGGATGTCAATATACCTCCCTTTCTGTTGTGTCTTAAAAACTACAGGTTTGGCGGGGGAGATTTTTGAGTAACTGAACAGCTGCAGCTGATAGCAGTATCACATTGGTTCTCTATGTGCCATTGCCAGTATTGCATAATACTTAGAATAACTGGATTTTTTTTTTAATCTGCCACTAAATAAAATTCAGTGAGGATATTTAAAATCATAGGCATAAATCATATTTGTCTGCTATACCTGAGATGATTACAATTGAAAATAAGTTTTTTCCCCCCCCCCATTAATTTATGCTGTTGCTTTCCCTTTTTCAGTTTCTTCAGAAAAGGCTATCTACCATCTGGCCTATCTTTCAGGTGTATTGGCAGCAATGCTTTTTTTGACTACAACTTTCTGTTGAAAGTTTACATGTATTTTTGGTAATATAAAATACTGTGTTAGCTTTTTTTTTCCTGACTAATACACTTACAGACATCTGCATATGAAAACTGGTGAAACTCAGTGTTCACTAGAGCGATTAATTTCCTTAATGAAGGACTAGAAACAGTAATTTTTTTTTTTTTTATATAGAATAATTTTTGGTAGGTGCAGAGGTGGGGGAGAATTAAACACAGAGAGGAAAGAAAATCCCATTCTTGCTGGTACCTCATGCTTTCAGGAGCTGCATGAGGGAAGAGAAACCTCCGCTGTGGAAGAGCTGCGTGCCCTGCTTGCCCTCGGGGCCCTCGGTAGCTTCAGCAGGCACTTGGGCTCTGCATTTTAACATTGCAGTGAGCTGCCGAGACAATTTTGCTCTTGCACGAGTTTCTGCATACTCTCTTCAAACTGCTGACCAACTTGCTGGCCAAGATTAGTGATTTGCTTTGTGATAGTCTTAACAACCACGGCGTGGAGCATGTGGAGCCTGGCAGCAGCAGGGGTTGTCTGCAGAAGCTGCTTTTGCGTTCTGGAGCTAGGTGCTCTCTATATGCAGATAAAATAAAGAGAATGCTGTATCATTTCACATTATTTTATACCATTTGCACATCTGCACACTTTCAGGTTTACTGCACTTTCTTGAAAAAAGGTTAAAAGAAAAATACTGTGGTGTGTGAACGGCCTTCTGGCTGTTCGATTTAAATTGTGTCATTCTTACTGAGAAGAATAAAGTCTGAAGATTTTATGATACACAAAACTCTTAGTTTTGTATGCCAGAGATACAAGGGAGAATTTAAAAATGACAATTATATAAAACTTCTTTTTCTGACCTCTCAAGTCTGAAGGCTGATTGAGTCGGGTGCTGTATTTCACTGACTTCTCTGTCCTTATGTATTTCGTGAATGATCTGTTTTCCCTTTTAAACTACTGATTCCCTTTTTTTGTGTGGAGAACTGAGAACAATGGCACACCTTTCCCTTGGAGAGGAATGTCCCTGCTTTGTCCTGGACTGGTGGGTGGACACTTGTTCAGTACATGGCTGTTTGATTTTCAGTCCTGGAATCTTAAACACATTACAAGATGTGCGCCAGCTCAAGGGGGAAAAAAAAAGGCACCAGCTTAGTCTTTGGGGAGAAGAACAGATTTACTTCTGGATTCAGCTTGCTCTTATCTTTAGGAGTCTTCTTCAGTAATTAGCCCAGAAGTGTAATCATAACCTAATCTTAGACAATATTTTGGGTTTGCTGCTGTCCCATCTGTTCTTTAAGAGAAAGGCTGTGTAGCCCTGAGAAGCAGCGCAGTCTGCGTGCAGGGTTGCAGCCCGGGTGCTGTCCGTGCCATTTCTCCTCTGCTAATGTTTCTGACCCAGTTCAGCAGCTGCCCCCCGATTGCAGAGGCTGTGGTTACCCAGTCACCCTGCTCAGGCTGTTACTGCTCGTTGGTACCTAAGGCTTAGGTATGCAGTTATTCATGACATCTTACATCTCTCCGTGGATTGACACCAGCCCTGCAGAGGAGGACTTGGGGGTACTGGTGGGTAGAAAACTGACTATGAGCCAGCAACGTGCACTTACAGCCCAGAAAGCCAACCGTGTCCTGGGCTGCACCAAGAGGAGTGCGGCCAGCAGGTCAAGGGAGGGGATTCTCCCCCTCTGCTCTGTTCTCATGAGACCCCACCTGCAGTGCTGGGTCCAGCTCTGGGACCTCCAACATAAGGACACAGAGCTGCTCAAGGTGGGTCCAGAGGAGGCCACAAAGATGATCAGGGGGCTGGAGCACCTCCCCTGTGAGGCCAGGCTGAGAGAGTTGGGGTTGCTCAGCCTGGAGAAGAGAAGGCTCCGGGGAGATCTTAGAGTGGCCTTCCAGTACTTAAAGGGGCTACAGGGAAGCTGGGGAGGGACTCATTATCAGGGGGTGTAGGGATAGGTAAACAGGTAATGGCTTTAAACTGACAGGGAAGATTCAGATTAGCGATAAGGAAGAAATTCTTCCCTGTGAGGGTGGTGAGGCCCTGGCACAGGTTTCCCAGAGCAGCTGTGGCTGCCCCCTCCCTGGGAGTGTCCAAGGCCCGGCTGGACGGGGCTGTGAGTGACCTGGGCTGGGGGAAGGGGTCCCTGCCCAGGGCAGGGGGCTGGAGCTAGGTGATCTTTAAGGCCTCTCCCAACCCAAACCGTTCTATGATGATTCTATGATTTGATCGCAAATTTTAAAGCTATCTATAAAAGTAGCTTGCCCTTTGACAGGTGACATGGGGATGATTCTAAGAGTGATCTCGACATAGTGACAGGGACAAAGGGGTTACCGGGGGGGGCAGCTTGGGAAAATATATTTACTTGGTCAAAACCTCAGGGAATGGTGTGTTTGGGCACGCGCTAAGGTTGTAAAAGCCTATGGGTTTTTCTTCTTGCACTGTTTCCCAGAGATTATTTCTATTTTGTGCTATTATACTATTATTTTTATATTTCTAAATATGGATTGGCCTCCATGCAAAGCAAAAGTCGGGTACATGTAGACATGTGTGTGGACTTGGATCCAAGCTCGAAATACAATGTGAAATACAGGGATACTGGTGTTAATAGCCTAAAATTAAAAGAATGGTTTTAGAAATATCTCGATGTTTTAACTCTCCTTTCTGCAGCCCTTAGCAAACCTATATTCTACCCTCACATGGAATTCATCAGAATATTTTGAAAGCGCTCACCCCGGCCACAAGGAGCGTAGGTGTATTTTAAACAAGGTAATCCCCTTTGCCAGGTAGCAGATTCACATAGCCAGGCAGGTAGTTGGTTTTGGTTTTGTTTTTTTAATTAAAAAAGACAACAGTTTTTGAGAGGCATGTGTAGGAACGCACACTGAGACTAGATTGAAACCGCACCCTGCGCGCAGCTCTTGAGAATGGGAATAATCTATTGACACGACAAGGACACAGCGTTTCTGTTTGTTGATTTGGATGGGGGGGCGAGTCTCAACAGACTCTTACGGGCTCTGGGACGGCACGGAGCCAGTGTTGGCTCCCCAGCTGCCGTCCCTGGCGCTCAGCACCTTCCCGGGCGCTTCCCCCCGACCTCCGGCGATGCCGGCTCCCTGCTTACCAAATGGGTATTGCCTAACGTCCCCTGTGGAAGTTACGCAACTTAAATATGGCCTTATATTTTCATCTGTGCTGAGCTGATTACTGACCTTTAGCCTTTTGGGCAGCTGTGTACAGAGGGTATCACTGATAGGAACCAGTTGCAACAAAGAATATTCTGTTGTGTCCCAAAGCACTCACTACTGAATCACGTTTGCAAGAGGGAGTAGGGCAATGCAATCTTTTGTTTAGGAGCGTAACCGTATAGTGGCATGCCTCTGGTAATTCTGTATTGTTTATGTTACTATCTTTATAACAGTTATCTTCCATAGTCTACAGGTGGGTAATTAATCATACCACGTGAGAAGATTAAGGAAGATTAAATTCTTCACTTACATATATCTCCTGGACTTCACTAGAATTGTGTTCATCCGAGCCTGTACTTAATTTGCTTTTTGTTATGTAACAAATCTGCTATTAGTGGTGGAGGCTTCCATTTTTTATTACTAAATTTACTTCTATGGTTGTTTAGGTTAATCTGTCCCCTTGTGTATTTTTTTTATGAGATTCTTTTAAAT